GGGGGTCCAGGACCCAATTCCATTTATCTAGTCTTCCCCCCCCCAACAAAAAAAAACGGACAATGGAACCAACCATGGAATTTCCCGGCTCGAAATCCCCAATTCCATTCAATTTACAAGGGCTGGGGGATCTCATATGGCAACAACAACATATGCAAGGGTAGACATCATTCGCATGGGCAGTTGGGACTCAAGCCATTGTTAAAGCTGATGTTGGGTCACCTTTAAACAAATGCAATCTGCGCGCCATTTGTTCAAACGTCAGATCCCGCCAAACGGAAAATGAAGCAAATGCAGAGGCTAAACGCCAGGACACCTTACCCATATCGCAGGCGGATGGCCAACATGAAATCAGCCAACCACATGCAACCAACCTGGTCATCCCCACCCTACGATTGCATCTAATCACAGGCACCTGTGCTTTTACCACACAAGGCCCTTGGTTGAATATCATTGTTCAACCAAGGGGAAGATCGAGGTGCCCTCCTGTCCACGTTTGGACGATTGCCCTTGCCGGACACCACAGATCTCTGAGACAGCAGGCTCTGCAGCTTCACTCGGAATTGGGCTGTGGGTCTTGCCCGGGTAAATTAATACATGGACTACAAACAGCGGTTCCTTAAGGTGGCTTAGTTTTGACCCATATCCATTTTGGTCCCAGCGCCATCCAGGTGCCGGATGGCATCCGAGGCCCTCACAAAAAAGTGGAAAACTCACAAACCGGAAGACTATCGTGCAGTATGCGTTGGCATGGGATTGAACTCAGAGAACAACAGAGCCAGCGAACGCAGACTTTTTTTGACGACTAAAGGGCAAAAAGCAGTGGGATGGCCCCAAAAAAGAAGAAGAAAAACAACACACAAATAAGAAGAAACAAAAACCTTCCTAAGCAATCCCATGTCTTCCGGCACTTGCAGGACCTTCCCCAACATTATGTATTGCATTCGTGTCAAATACAGGCAGAAGTAATATATCCATATGTATATTTGTGTGGCCCTATGTCGCATGTTAGGCCTCCAAATCAGCCCAGGCCGGATAACACGTCCAGGGAGCTCATTTAGGAAGCAAGCTCGCACCTCTGCAAACAAAACAGGGCATTCAACAAACAACCAGCATCGTAAATGGTGAGTGTCTGTGCAACCAGGGTGTGCTTCCTTTCACAAGCCCTTCCCCGGTCTGAGATGCTGTCCACCGTATACCCCAAAGCCACTCTATATATATATATCAAGGAATGAGTTTGTTGTTAATGGCCCCTATATTGCCACATAATTTAAGGTCATAAATACAACATGTTCTCTTAGGCTGCTGGCTTGGGGATAGTTGGTCTTGCGGCAACATCTGTGGCGCAGGCCGTCATAGATGTAATTCTCGTCCAGGTGCCGTGTGTCATATTTGTCACTTTCCTGGAAATGGCAGTTTCGCGAGCGTCCAAGCCGAAACAATGGAATTTGATATAAGGGTATAGTTGTGTGCCAAAGTAGGGGGACCCCAAAAATGGCTTTCATTGGGCTTCCCTTTAAAGCCACCTCAAATAGGTACCCATCAAAGACACATTCTAGCCTGTCATTACTGCTCTGACTGAAACCTGGCTGTTGCCATGCCGTCCGAAACCTTAGGCCTCAAGATGTCAGCAAGGTATGCCTTTTCCCCGCCAGGCTTCAGCAGTCAATTTGACTACAGCAACATCATGCCCAAAACTGTAAAGTCACTAGAGAATTCAAGGCTGACTTGACTGGTTGGACTTGCGATGGCCGCATGTTGGAAAATGGGTCCACACAAGTCCACCCCTTGTTGCATGTATTATATAAAGATCTTCCAAATCTGGTGCCAGCTTTTCACAATCTAGCTGCTCCATGCCGTCTGCCGACGAAAGTCATATTCATGGCCGCGTTACGTTAAAATTCAAAGAGGCAGGATAGCTATGATGACAGTCAAAAGACAAACCAAATGAACCTCGAGATTCTATCAAGGAAACCACAAGGGATGGTTTATGGGGTCATTCCCTCATTCCCTGCCTGTCAAACCAGCAAGTTTCTTAATGGGACTTTAGTGTCGCGCTTGCTTGAGCTCTTGGTGTGAGCCAACGAATCAAACAGAGCCCACACCCGAGTCTTCAGTCCCCTTGTAGAGTGCTCAAACCGATTATTTCGGGAAATAGACCTCGAACTGATTATTTTAGAGTGTAAAGTGCTCAAACTTATTCTGATTCTTTACTGGGATTTTAAAAAACACCATAAAGCACCAACATCTTTGAGGGAAATAGACATTGACATCCTACACCAATTAAGCTGCGCACACACACACACACACACTCGCGCAGTGTTTGGTGGGCTTGTCAACCGTTTAAACAGGACCCCCCCCAAACAAGTACACAAGCTGTGAAATGGGTTTGTCAACCGTTTCAAAGCCCCCAAACAAAAACCAACACACACCCCCTTCAAACCAAAACTGTGAAATTGGTTTTTCAACCGTTTCAACAAGAAAGCCCCAAACAAAAACGCTGGGGGGGGGGGGGCGGTCCGTTTGGCCTCCCTCTTCAGCCAATCGCGCGGACTCAGAGACTCAGGTCCCGGGCCTTTGCCATTGGCCTGGCGCTGATTTGCTCGTCTCTTGAGGCATGCGTTTGTGGCTAAAAAGGAAAACCGAAAGGAAAAAGAACCCATTTTTGGTGAGTTTGGTTGCTTTCTTTTTCGGGGAACCTGTAAGGAAAGATGAAAGGAAAACGGAAAAACAACTCTCATTTGGGGGACACCTATGTCACAATGTGGGCCTCTGTCAAAATAAGATCCACCAAATTGATTGGTTCCCTTCAGGTTTCCCATTGAACCGGTGCAAAGGGTACCGATTGAGGTGGGTTTCAACTGTCCCCTGAGATGGCGAGTAAATAGTGGTTCATGTCTCATACGTGTGCGGTCGTGGCAAGTGTTCCGAGTGTTGGTTCGTTGGAGGTTGATCTTCGACTTGCCAAGCTGTCTGTTGTGTGTGTGCTCTTTTTTTTGCCCGAGTCTGATGGACACAAGAACTCGAACTTGCAAGTGCGATGCTATCTTTTTGTCTCTGGCTCTCTGTCGCTCTGTTTCTGCTCTTTTGCCCTCCCTCCCACCAACATGGCATCTGATAGGGCGTTCCTACAAGAGAAAACTGGTCTTCCAGGTACCCTCCCACACATAAATCTGCTCAGTTGGTCATTGTCTGTCATTATGCCCGTTGGATCTAAACACGTTGCCACTGGTTCCCAGTTTTATCCGATGTCGTCGCTGTGGTCGAAGGATGTTGCATCTGCTCAGTGGCTAAGGTGCATGGACCCTTGTGCAAGAACCAAGAAACATCTCAAAACACCATTGGGAGGCTGCAAGGAGCTCCCGAAAGAAAAGCATCTGGCTGATCCTCTGACCTTCAGTTCCAAGAAGTCTTACTCCTCCCAAGGTCTACGGGGCGATTCCTTCACAAAGCCACGGTTCTCCGGGCCCCATCTGAACGCCCGCCAAAAGAGATGGCCACACTCCCGCACTCCCGCACTCCCGGACTCCAGGACTCCCGGGCTCCAGGACTCCCGGGCTCCCAGCCTAGATCTTTCCGGGAGCTTTGCCCCGAAACGCCAGGAGAAAACACGCCAGGAGAAAAAAAAGCTGACCCGGTCTGTGGCTGGATGTTTGTGTCACCTGGTTGGCTCGTGCTTGCAACTTGAGGCGGGCCGGGTCGAGAAGTTGAGGAGTCGAGTCAAGGCATCCGAGCGCATCCTTGATTTAGGATATATCTTCATCTTGGGGTTGTTTGGGAAAAACCATCAACAAAATGATATGTCCACTGAATGGGAAAATGTACCCTTGGTCATTTGGGGACCAGGAATATTGAACACAAACCCCCAGTAGCTCCCGACCCATTAAAATGGTTCTCACCCTTCTAAGAACCCCTCCTAAGAAGGTTCTAAGAACCCTTCTTGCCCCGGGCTTTCCCACATCTCAGTCATGCGCAGGACTTTAGAGATCATCCTTCGGCCCAACCAAACGTGGATTCTAGTCATGGGCGCGCCCTCTGCATGGAGTGGATCCAATTGGAGTGCTTGCGAATTAGTCGTCCAAATTGCCAGGGGTCCAGTCCCCCAGCAAACCCCAGAGAATGAACTTTACTCTCCCTTGCTCAGTGGATGGCCCAAAACAAATCCAAACTTTAGATTTGCCACCAAAATGGTCTTCCCAAAAAGCTTAAAGTTCATGACCTCAGCAAGTGAGTACTTAAGTGGGCAAACCACACCTGCGACCTGCGCCCCAAAAGAACTAAAGTGATGTGTACAATTGGTCAACGCGCAAACAGAAAAAAACATCTACGCGAAAGAACATGGCACAAACTTCGCTGGTGGCTACTCTGTGCCGGTCGCCCTCAAAGGCCAAAGCCCGTGCACTCAAAGTGCTGCTCGGATGCCAAAGTGTCTGTGGATGGCACAAGCCAGTTGCGGCAGCACCGCTCAGAAGGGGGCCACATGTTTGACAACCCCTCAGCTGTCTATAATAACTCCACCAAAGCCAAGAAAATATCATGAAAGAAACCTTCATGCATGGGTGTCGCAAATCGCCGGGAACGTGACGACGCTACAAGTGCCCCAGAAGAAACATGTCCAGCCTGAAACAAGCGATTTTTCCAATAAGGGAATCTTCCTCGCCCGCACACGACAGGTCGCGTCAATCTGCCAAACTATATTCATCCTCCATTTGCTTAAACCCCTGGAGAATGTCTTAAAGATTCATTTAGCCCACACCAATATGAGAGTGATCTTTAATTGGACGTTTTGGTGGACGCGATTTAGGTTAGGATTTGTGTCCACCAACCCCTATTGAGGCGTTGCTTATTCCAAATTGAACAATATTTGCAATAGTGATAGATTCCCTTTAAACCGAACAGGGGAAAATCAAACAAACTCAGAAATGCAATGGAAGTCCTTCCCTCGTTCTTGCACGAAGAGAGATCTGCCCAACGGCCCAAATCGATCCGGCGCACATTTTCGTTCCACACGCCATCCGCTCGTCAAGCCGCTGGCTCCTGGGCGCGAAACAAAGGCCATCAGGGCTTGACATTGAACCTCTGCGTGCAAGGGGAGCCCCCTCAAAACACGTGTTTGATATGAAGCGACAGCGCCAGAAGGACGTCAAATCGATCGAATCCCCTTTTGGGTTCCTTCTTTTGATTTGCTAGGTCCTCCAGTAGAGAGAACCTAGAATAAGGGTACCCGTTTTTTCTGTAGTCTATTTTAGTATGGGAACCCTTTTGCCGGGTAAAAGGGTACCTAGCTGGGGGACCTAGTCTATAGAGTGAACTTCGGCAAGGCTGCTTCATCAGGCGCGTGCCAGCCAAAGGGGGCAGATGAGGGGACACCACAGCCGTGCAACAACTCTCATCTGGCCTCAGGACTAAGGATTGAGGATTGAGTTTGAACAACACGGTTTTGATTTGCAATCCTTGTGGTTGTGAAGACCACCAAGACGTTCATCGCAATCCCTGCCATCCCGATGTGCAAGTGGGTTTGACCTGCACATGACCAACCAACTTCAAGGGACTGCACCGGCAGGGCAAATGTGTCACCAGTCCGGCAGCTGACAAAAGCCAGCATGAATATCCGTGGAGCCCGGCGCAGTGAATGGGAAAATACAGAACAAGCTCCTTCGCGGGCATGCCTTCCAATGCCGATCCCGACCCTCATTCATGCAAACAACCCATGCCAAGAATAGAAATGAATATTTCTTGGCTGCTTCACTTTGAGTCACTGGTAAAATGCAACATGTATGTTAAGTATTTCAGTCGCAGATTTAATGGAAAAAACCATTTGTTTCCCAAAGGGCTAAGGCGGCTAAGGGGCAATTCGGTCCAGCCATTGTTTCCTGCAGCCTTCGAAATGGACACGCATGTGTCCATCGTAGCATGGCAGCGAAAACTCAGAATCACCCGTCCTAGGAGGCGATAGCAGCCGTGCGAGAAACTGGCGGAAGCCAAAAGTCGTGAAGCCAAGCATCGGGCCCCATGTTCTGCCTTCCATTACTGGGCTGTCTTTTTAGAGATCCCCCGCTAAAGGTGACGAACTACTCGGAAGTCCAACCACTAAACACCAAACAGCTAAAAACCTAAGGGGCTGGCTGGGAGCAACTAAGATTAGTGGTAGGTTAAAATGGGAGTTTTTCTTTCCACCAAAATCCCTCATAAACAGCGAAAACAAAGAAGAAGAAAAAACACGTGACCCAAGCATTGTGGTCCCTGAGCACCTGGCCCGGGGAAAACATCTGGGTTGCCTCTTGAAACCCTCCTAATGGCTTCGTGTCCTTTGGCTGCGATGGGGGTTCTGTTTATCAGAAGTTCAACGGGTTTCGTGATTATTGGCCCACGGGCGAATCACTCTTTTATGGTCCCAGTGTCTGTGGAAGCCGCGTTTGTACATCCCTAAACCTAAAAACTAGACGCTAGCAACAAGATCCAGTCAAGTCATTTGGCCAACGGGTAACCCAGATGTTTTCCCCGGGCCAGGTGCTCAGGGACCGCAATGCTTGGGTCACGTGTTTGTTTCTTCTTTGTTTTCGCTGTTTCTGAGGGATTTTGGAAGTCGGAGACTGGAACAACTCCCTTACCTATGAATCATAGGCGAGCTTTCGGAAACATCTATGGCCCCTGGCAAATGGAACAACTTGCTGGTGCGATAGGTAGGGAATGACCGTTCCGGGTAATGGGAATGAAACTTTGGGGATTCCCGAATAAAGGAAACCAAATCGGATGGATGGTTTGTCTTGGGGTCAGACTCCACAACTCTCATTCCCTGCCAATCGATCCAGCAAGCTAAACCAGTGCCATCTATAATCTATCTCTATCCAACACGTAAAGAGTCTGCCGAGCTCCAAACGCCCGCAGGCCCAAGCACATGAAACAACAAGCCACTCATTTGGGTGGCGTCTCTTTGGGGTGTGTCGGCCCCCTGTTGGCCAGTTTAAAGGGAAGCCCGAAGCAAATCCCAATGTCTCGTTTCCTTTTTCTTCGGGGTGGGGGGGCGGACCTAATACCTTAAAAACATCACACGCCAGTTTGCTATTTTTTCCGGCGAGCCGCATTTCAGGTCCTGCCCCTCAGGTGGGTCTCAGGGGCCCAGGGATCCAAGTGCCTTGTGAGAACTTCTCACCTGAGCCGAATTCTCAGCTCAGCAATGAGATTGGCCACACAAAGAGAGTCCAAAGGTCCAAACTTGATCTCTACGGCCGAAATGGTTTTCCCCCAAAACATACAACGAGTACTTGGGAAAAGAGTCTTCCCAACATGGTTTTACCAAAATATGTAAAGAGTCCAGGAATTCAGGAAGTGAAGGGGTCAAGGTACATCCTATCGAGACCCAGGCTTTCGGCTCGTGAGAAAGAACAGAAACGTGATCTCTGCTTTAAAAAAAACAAACACATTTTTGTGCTTTACACTTTTGAGGGCGCAAGATGTGCGGATGGTTGTTTAGGGAGTCTCCAAAGAACAGCCCAACCTAAAGGGGTCCCCGACTTGGAGACCAAAAATAAATTCAACACGTGCCCAATCGCCACGAACAATGCTCCCAGCTGAGCCTCACGGATTCAATGCTTCCCCTGAAAGCGAACCGCTGCCTCTATGGGGCAACCTGTTAACTAAGCGGTTTGAGCTGAGGCAATGTATTCGTATGGCTCAGTCCCCCATGACTCAACCACGCCTTGCGGGTAGTGGTGGTGCTTCAGGTGATGCATGAGAATGCCACCCTGCACTGCCTGTGCCAAGCAAAACCACTTTCCACACAAACATCGAGCAAACATCGAGTCATTCTAATGGTTCTTCAGGATTCTCACGATCAGCTGGACCGGGAAAACCTCCAGTTAAGTTTCCTGGAGCTGGAGAAACCAACGAACTTCCCCCCGACAACTGCTCTCTCCCATGTCCAAAATCCCAGCCGTCCAAAATGCAACTGATTCTGGGCATACCAAATGCTATGATACCTCGCCAAGCGAAGATAAGGGACCCCCCCAAGAAAGGAAACCTCACTTTGGGTGACGTCGACATAATTGGCACAGTGCTATACTATTCATTCACACCCGCAAATCAGGAATCCAATTGAGGAACCTCCCGCATGGGCGGGCTTGAGTGAGCTTCGTATGACTTGTCCATATTTTTTCAGACGCTGGTGCTATAAAGTGAGCTTCTTGGACCAGATATATTCCGAACTAAGCAACTGAAGGGTCGCAATGCCAAGCTTGGGCGAAGTGGCTCAGAGTATTGCATGACACATGTGCCAAGGTCAAAACTGATGTTCATGGGCATTGTTCGTCACAACTAGGGACCTTTGTGATGGTTTGTCCAACATCCTTATTCAGTGGTTGATTCAAAGGCATGAAAACACCCTATGAACCCCTGGTATGAAGCTTATGGATGAATTAACCGTTATTGCTTAAGTCTGGGAATTCACATGGACCCATAGAAGCAGCCTTTGAACATAGCCATGACAGGCAAAGCCCCTTACTAGGTCCTCCAGTAGAGAGGTTAGAATATATAAGGGTACCATCTTGTTTCTCTGTAGTCACACTGTAGCCTATTTTTAGTAGGGGAACCCTCCCAACCAAAAAAAAGGGGATGAGAAAGGGCACCTAGCTGCTGGGGTTAGTGTATCAGTTCAATTGATCTCCTCCGAGTTGCAGCTTCAGCAGGCCGTGCAACCCCAAGTGGGGCTGTCGTTTCTGGGGCTGGACCACCCCCAAAGTGCCTGGTTTCTTTAGGGTTTCCGCATTCAACGTACCACCAAATAAGAGGGATACCAACTCCGAAAAAGACAGACCCACTTCCACGGATTGACCACAAGTCCGAACTCTTCAGTGGGAAATGGAATCCACGAATCTGTGATACAACAAAACGGGCCGAACCCCGAAGACCAACCCCCCAAAAGAGGGGATTCCCACAAGTATCACAGTAGTTGGATAAACCCCGAATGATCAACCACAACCCTGGAACTCTTCATTTACCACGAAGTCGGTCTTCCCAAAAAAAATAAAGCCCAAGAGCTCAGGCACGGTGCGCGTTTGTGGGTTGGTTTTGCAGCGAAGCCACCATTTTCTGTGTGCTTCCCTTTAGAAGCCACCAACAGGGATACCAACAAAAAAGAAAAACCCAAGGAAACTCACTTCCCGAGTTGGCCAACCAAAAGTAGCTAAACTCTTTTTATCTACCCAAAACCCAAACCCAAAAAGTCTAAACCCAAACCCAAGAAAAAAAAAAACAAAAGTCCTTAAACAAATTGGTCCAAACCCAAGTCTCAAGCCCAGGAACTCAGGTGACCCAATCTGTGGCCCTGGCCGTGTCCAGCGCTCGCATCTCGAAGGTCTCTTTGGGATGCAGCCTCAAAATGGCTGTGCCTCAAAAAACCGGAATTCCAAAATGGAACCCAAAAACCGGCATTCCAAAATGGCTTGCCCTGGTAAGTGGACACATGGAGCAAAACCTGTGGTTTGCCCCTCCTGCTTAAGTTTGAGCCACGCCCAAATGTCCGTGTCGACTCGGAAGGGTTCGTATATCCAGCCTAAAATCACCCCATCCCCGAAAAAAGAGATGTTTAAAATTCAGGCAAACCCCACAGTGTTTAATGTTATACTTCAAGGGGAAGCCCCAAAAGGCGATGTTTCACTCTTTTAAATGCACCGATCTATGTTTTGGTCTTTTAGGCATCGGACCACCAGGCTGGTGCTTGCTTCTGGTTCTCCTTGATTTATAACCAGGTGCCAAAAAAAAAATCAACTCTAAGAAAAGAGGAGCCACCAGCCTTTGACCCTGGAAGGCGGTGTTAGGAGACCCGCTGGCTATGCTCGGGAAAAAATATTCGGACGAGCTGCCGTCCCGTGGGGTTCGCCAAGGACAGGTTTGCAGCGTCAAAGTTGCCAATAGCTGGGCCTACTCCAAAAAAATGTTGTTCTGACTCTCATATTTCGTCAACCCTGTATGTGCAGAGAGAGATATATCATATATATGCTATATCTATACATATGTGTATATATATATATAGCATATATATATATATATGTATTGCAATATTATTTTTGCGAGTATTTTTCGAGGAGACCACAGAATAGCATGTTTTCACCCAAGCACATGGTCAACCTGTGCAATCACCTCGATGCCCGTTTAGTAGGTAAAAGGGATCCCCAAGTCTTGTTGAAGAACCCTTTGGCCAAATCTGACCGGCCTATGGCCAAACCCGTGGAGTTTGCTTTAAAATTTATCGCCCTATCACTTCAATATGTTTCATCACAATCCCAAAAAGAGCCGATGAAACAGTCAGCAGGTTAAGCAACTCCAGGGCGTTCAGGCGGTGTTGTGGTGTTTTGGTTCTGGTGCTGTGGAATTTTGGTTGATTGGCGCCTGGTAAAGAAAGGCTAAAGAAACCATCGACACCAACAACGCAACAACAACGAAATCTTGAATCTGAAATTAAGAGAAACTGACATTCCTCAACCGTACCTGAAATTAAAGAGCCACCCGGGTCCAATGCGCAAAATCCTATGTAAACCTCCTTGGTACGGTATCCAAAAGCAGTTGGGACCCGGGTGCCCACAACATGGAACCTTCATCTAGAAAACGATTGGATGTGGTTTTTGTGGAATCACCCCTGCAGGATATTACAAATGTACTGAAAAAGTACTAAAAAAGAACCTACTTACAGGGGGAAGAAGAAGTGAAATCCACACAAAGCGCGACTCCACCCGTTTTCGTCTAACGAGTCATACCTAACGGATACCTTGGGATCCAGACTCCAGCGGATTCGGCACCTAGCAGCAGCAACCACTCTGACCAAGAAGGCCGAAAAAACAAAGGCACGCCAGTCCTACCTTCCTTCTGGGGGGGAAGGGAGGTGGAGCGGGGTGCTGGTGTGGGTGGCTCGTCTTGTTTGGAGTTGGTACTCTTCTTTGGTTGGATGGAAAGGAAAACCAAAGGGAAACCCCGCCGTTTTGGGGTGCTGGCAGCCCTTGATGGAGCAGGAGCACCCCTTCGTGGAGTTCTCCTTTACTGGATCTCAGCCAAAAGGTATAACCCTTTCCCATTCTCTTTGCCTTGTTCGCATGAATACTTACCCAAAGGTCCAAGTACATCATGAAGATGGCTTGTTGGGTGTTCAATAGGGGGTCATTCAGTACCTGCTTAGCAGGTACCAAGGGATCCTCTGGGTTACAAACCTAGGTATGTGCACCCTCAACCAACATGGAACCGTTCGACGTTCGGGGAAGCGGTCCTGGTTTGACCCTCCCAACGAAAAAAGAAACGGTAAAAGGGCACCTAGATGGGGGACCTAGATGATGACTCGTAGAAAGGTAAATCACTGGCCGGTCCGCCTTGATCTTCAAGGCGTCTCGCGGAGCGGCCTCAACGACGCCCGAGAAGCCACGAAGGACATGCAACCCCAAGCTGGTCTCTTTTTTTGAGGGTAACGTTTTTGGGGGATGTGCAAGAAAAACAAAAGGAAGCCACCTCTTTTTTTGGTGTTCCCTTGCTTCTAAGCCAAGACCACATGTTGCGAGGGCTTATGTAAAGCGGGTTTCCATTAGGGCCTGCACCATGTCCATCTTCTTGCGGCAGCGGCTGCTGTTGACGTGTTGCTGATGCGCATGGCGGTGGTGGCGCTGCGGATGTTTGTAGTGGCAATGTTTTCTCCCTTTCTGTTGGGCCAAGTGGGTGTCTCCCAGAACAGGGAAACTCCTTCAAATATCAAAGGCCGAATCTATACACCCCTATGTGAACCCCTAGTATTAGTTTGTTATGGCTTAATTGTGAGAATAAGCCCACAAAGGGTCCAACATGGCCACAGGTTGATATATGGACCTTATACAATAAGCCTTTGAAAATAGCCATAGCAGGAAAACCCTATTGAACAGTTAAACAACAGGTTCAATCACTATTTCCAAAATGACCATGGTCCATGCATCTCCCCATAACAGGGAAACCTATTTATACATTTGCCGTCTGAGTCCCTCCAAGCACTCCCCAAGTCTCGCAATGGGGCCGCGCACCCAAGGTGTGGCGTATTCCTCTCGCACCAGCAGCGCCAAGCCTTGGGTCAAGTAAAAACCTCAGATGGCCACCGCGTGGAGTCTCCTTTTGGGAAACTGACTTCCTTGGGATCCATGGGGAAAGTTGCAGGTCGTTTTTTCCTTTGGTGACTCAGCTCCTTAGCTTCAAACACCGGGGGCTCTCGGAAACTCCTCACCTTGTATCCACCATCTCTTTGTGGAATTTGCCTAGGTCCTGCAGTACAGAGGTTAGAATAAGGGTACCAACTTTTGCTAAAGTTTATTTTTAGTAGGGGAACCCTCACACAAAAAAGGGCAGAGAAGTGCACTACTGGGGGACCCAGTTGCAGAAAAGTATCATGAAAAATGCCCGCCATGCCCCGCCACAGGACCTTGATCTCGCCTGACCCGCTCGATTACATCGAAGCCGCAGTGATTCCTGTGATAAGAAGCCAGGGAACCTTCAAAAGCACGAAAAATGGAAAGCCTTACATCAGATTCCGTAGGGAATGAAAGAAAGCCAACTAGAGAGTATGCTATATCAACCTATTGTAAATTGACGAAATCCTGCAGCACCTAAGAAACGCTGGAATTGTGATTTCCCCTGTGGTGCAGGATCATCGTTTGGCAACCAGTGTGTTTGTGTGTGGTGCGTTACCATCTCGCTTCAGGTGCGGCCTATCTCGCTCAACTGATTTAGTTGATACTGCATGATACTGGTCATTTGAGCATTGGCTTTAAGGTCATGCGCTCAAGACATCATGGAACCAGCCCACAAACGGCAGCATTCACAGCCCCATGACATTTGATGCATGCTCCCAGCCACGTCTCTGATCCCTTTTGAAAAAGAGATGCGGAGCTGAGATCCGAAAGGTGACATGTTCAGTGGACCCTTCCAGCATGCGGCTTAAGCCGCGCTAGACCAAGCAAGTACCCCTACCGAAAGCCAAGCGGCAATGAGTTCAAGGCCAGCAAATGGCATGAACCATCATGAACCATTCAGAAGTTTCCGTACTCCCAAACGATGTTCCAAAAACTCTCGTCCTCTTGCCTACATGAAAGTGGGCAGGGGGTCGCATGAAAACCGATCGTGGGGAGGGGCATTGGTGACGAACCTCTGCTTTGCACTGCAATCTCGCTCTCCTCGTTTCAGCCCGATGAGGCCGAGGGATACAAGCCGCACCCATCCATTTTAAGCATGCCAAAATGCCTGGATCGGTTTGGCATTCCCGGCCCCCGCGACCAAACCGTGGGGCCCGTCGTCCACACATCATTTCTTGTCTACCCGACGTGTAATGTACTGCATGGGGCATGGCTGTTTATAGGGGATGTTTGTCTTTCTGGCGCAACAAACATCCAGCATCATCCAGCCATGCCTTTGCCTTGCGAATCAAATTACTCAACCGCCCCAGCCCAGCATTGCCGGGCTGTCCTCAGATCTCCTGGTGGCTCAAATGGAAACCCAACCGATTGAAACCAACCAACCACTAAAACCCCAAGGAACCGCACCCCCAAGTCATCCCAAGTCTTTACCTTTCCAAACGAATCGAAATTCCCGGACCGCCCCCAATTGTCGGGCTTTTCCCGGTTTTTCCGGGTTTTCCCCCCTTTCGGCCGAAACGCCCTGGCTGGGCTCGTAGTGCCGTAGGTCAGTGCCTTCTGGATGAGGAACTGCCAGCGTGAGCCTCGGCTTGCGGCGTGGCGAGCGGCGCGGAGGGCGGCGCGGTTTTACGCCTTTTGCGCGCCGTGGCGCGGCGCGCGTCTGAGCCGTTCAACGCACTTCCCGAGTTGACTGGCTGGAAAAAGTAACCAAACTTGTCGTCGGCTACTAACACGTCTTCCCAAAAGGTGTAAAGTCCGTGAACGCGGGGAGTGACTCAAAAATGGTGATTTTCCACGATCCGATAAGGTAAACCACTACAAAGGAGACCGGCTCCTTGCGGAACCCAAGGCAAGAATTAAGGACTACATTTGACCAGCCGAATCTGTGGCAGTTGGCACCCCCTTGTTTCAATTGTGTTCAAGGGAAACCTAGAGGAGAACCAACATTTGGTTGGCTTACCCAAGAAAAGCAAATATAAAACACACAATATGTCTTCTCTTGTTTTTGTTAAGAACAAAAAACACAAAAAGAAACATCGATCCCATCCCCCACCGATACTCAGAAGATCAAAGCCTTGCGGATTTCTTCCCGAGCATCAACCAGTCACAGGAGCCTGAAGGCAACCGGGTCCACTTGTGACATGCAGATCATCCTCCGAATGCATCGCTCGATTCAAACTCGCGGAAAGAAAGCCGAGGTTCAAAGTTTAAAGCCACCCACCAGTGCAATTTTTCGGTTTGCCACCAAAAATGTGTCCCTAACCAAAACCAAAACCCCTCAAACCACAACGCAAACCCACCCGAACACCCCCTAACAGCTAATGGGTGAACCCAAGGGAAAAAACTATGGACCATTAAAAAACTTGCTCTCTGCGTGTTTGTAGTTTTGTTTAAGGGCAACCCTTCCAAAAAGAAAATTAACACAAAAGGCTCTAGTACCCTCCCCATTCTCTTCAGCGATCCTTCTCTTGAAACAATGGGCCAAACACCTGGAGAAAAGGTGGCTTCTAAAGGTTGAACGATGGGTGAAGAGAATGGGGAATCAAAGCTGCTTAGCAGAGAACTACCCTTAAAAATGATAAATATGGAGATGCAGGGCCCCGGGCCGCTTCTGTCGGCACAGCTTCTGCAAGTCCTGCGGAAAAACGTGCGTTCGAAGGGAAGCCACCCAAAAGGGAAGTCCCCCCAAAAAACGGGGAAACAACAAAGGGAACCTCCCAAAAAAAAAACTGGACCCCCCCCAAAAGAAAAAGGAACCTTGCAAAAGAAGGGAATGCTGAGAGGGAACAACAGTAGACTAGTTTTTAGAAGGGTCTCGGGATCCTTTGGGTGCTCTCGGTATCCAGGGCCCAAATGCCATACTTTAGAACCGGTCTAACCCCCCAAAGGCGTTGAGCAGAGCCAACCCAAAGGGTGTGGCCTGTGGACGGCAGTTCAGGATGGGATCGCTGCACTTCGCCAGGCAGCAAAAAGGTCCGCCGCCTGTCCGCAGCTACGGCAAGATTTATTGTGTTCCCTCAATGACATAGGATTTGGGTGAAGCTCTGATTCCTGGTGGCAATTTGGTGAGGTGGATCCAATGTCATTGCCGTGACTACAGTAGAGGACGAAGTATTGACCGTCGCGTATCCTCAGCAATCAACCCTCTGGCAGCGAAACAAGCAGCAAACAACCAGGCCGCTGGCTAGAACCCTTCCGGCCATCTCTGCCCAAGTACGGAATCCCTACCAGGGAAGCCCTGATGAACCAAGGGTGGTGTCAATGAGTCGACACCACTTTGCAACATCCCTGGAAATGCGATTCTTGGACTTGCCCATTGGTGCGCACATCCCGGACGCTGCACGTACGGGTCAGTGGTGCCGTGTGGCTATTCAGTGCTAGCCCGTTCGCGTGAACATTGAGCTTTTGGCTTTTGAGTCCAGCCGCTAATATACAAACAGACAGGTGTGTCTCAAAGTTAAGCAGCACCCGGCGTGTTGGCTTCCCAAAATTCACCGAAACATGCTGTCGGGTTCCTGGGTCGTTGGTCTGGAACCCCACAAAAGCGCTCGGAGTGGTAGACTTCAGAACCTTTGGACGATGCTTCGTCCCAGGTTGTCGCGTCGAGCGGGATAGGATCGGATAGGTTGTTCCTAGCGCCTTGCCAGCCGTGGTTTGGGAAATTTGACTGCCCAGGGTAAAACCATTGACAGGGGAGATTCAGGGAGCTCCAAATAGAAGATATGGTACCTTCTAAGTTACGGGGGCTGTTTCGGAATGCGATTGATTGCTCTGTCGGCATGCAATTGCGGTATGTGCTTCCCGCTTTTTGCAGTCATTTGGCTCCGCAGTTGGTGAAATCATGCCAAAAGCAAAGAGAGACGCTAGCGCTGACGCTTCGCAGATGTCTGGATCACTAGATGGTGGCAAGGACAGTGGCATTGATTCAGCTTCTTGTGCGGGGTTTTCTTTCGGGCGGTCAAGCATGCTTAAGGGCCCACTTTGCTTGGCGTTTGTCAACCCAAGGGATGTAGCTACAAAATCGCCAACGAAGGCTCCAGTGGATTTCCAAGCAACCCAGTCCACGGGTCCACCGCCAACGCCCCAGTAGATTTTCAAGCAACGCAGCCCAGACCCGCGAGCAGGTCCTCGAGATCACCCTTGTAATAGGGCATATCGAACAGCGCGCCTGGCTGCAGTCCAACAAATCTAAATGGGCGGCTCATGGTTTGTAGGTACTGTTACACGGGTAAAGGCTGGGACACTGCCACACGATTTCTTGGCAACTTACCCGCGCTCCCACTAACATGGCACCAAGAGGAACTTGATCTTCCAGGTACCCTCCCACAGGTGCCATGTTAGTTGGAGGGAGGGTAACATGTTCCGGTAAGGCACCTTCATCATGGCTCGTACAAGGCCACTGGTTCGTTCTACTTTTCTTCACCAAACGCACCTAGGGGGGAGTCCGGAGCTGCAGCTAGAGCTTGGCAACCCAGGTGTCATTGCACCTGGCAAAAATGAGGGTGTTCTGTTCTCGGTGTCCGGAGGTTTTCTAGAAAGAAGGATTCCTGGACAGAATGGAAATGGAAGGTACCCCTAGAAGTTGTTTCATTCAATTGATTCTCCCAGGGAAAATGGCCGGTTCTTGAAAAGAACCATGGTTGAAAAGAATGGGGAATCAACCCCTAGACAACTGGTGAACTGCCGCGGCACAACTGGGGCAGCGATCCCACTGAGCGTCTTTTGTGTTTGTGTTTGTGTTTGTGTGTGTGTGTTTGTGTTTGTTTTTGTGTTTGTGTTTGTGTTTGTCTTTGTGTTTGTGTTTGTGTTTGTTTGTTTGTGTGTGTGTGTTTGTGTTTGTGTTTGTCTTTGTGTTTGTGTTTGTCTTTGTGTTTGTGTTTGTGTTTGTTTGTTTGTGTGTGTGTGTTTGTGTTTGTGTTTGTCTTTGTGTTTGTGTTTGTGTTTGTTTGTTTGTGTGTGTGTGTTTGTGTTTGTGTTTGTGTTTGTGTTTGTCTTTGTGTTTGTGTTTGTTTGTGTGTGTGTGTGTGTTTGTGTTTGTGTTTGTCTTTGTGTTTGTGTTTGTCTTTGTGTTTGTGTTTGTGTTTGTTTGTTTGTGTGTGTGTGTTTGTGTTTGTGTTTGTCTTTGTGTTTGTGTTTGTGTTTGTTTGTTTGTGTGTGTGTGTGTTTGTGTTTGTGTTTGTGTTTGTGTGTGTGTGTGTTTGTGTTTGTGTTTGTCTTTGTGTTTGTGTTTGTCTTTGTGTTTGTGTTTGTGTTTGTTTGTTTGTGTGTGTGTGTTTGTGTTTGTGTTTGTGTTTGTGTGTGTGTGTGTTTGTGTTTGTGGTTGTGGTTGTGTTTGTGTTTGTGTTTGTGTTTGTGTGTGTGTGTGTGTGTTTGTGTTTGTGTTTGTGTTTGTGTGTGTGTGTGTGTTTGTGTTTGTGGTTGTGGTTGTGTTTGTGTTTGTGTTTGTGTTTGTGTTTGTGTTTGTGTTTGTGTTTGTGTTTGTGTTTGTGGTTGTGTTTGTGTTTGTGGTTGTGGTTGTGTTTGTGTTTGTGCTTGTGCTTGTGTTTCTGTTTGTGTTTGTGTTTCTGTTTGTGTGTGTTCGTCTGTTTCCGCAAGAGTGAAGATGGTGTTGGGTTCATTTTTCCCGGGTTCCCAAACAAGGCTGCTCAGCCAACCTTTTCAGGTCCGAGATGGGTGCGGCATTTAGACCACTTCTGTGATACGACAAAAAGGGCTTCCCAAAGAATAACGCCCCACAAAGGGGAGATCCCCTTGTATCACAGAAGCGAGATAAACAAGGGGGTCATTTTACCACCTTTTGTGAGAAAATGGGAGGGGCGCGATCATTTATCCACCAAAGGTGGCAAAAATCACAAACAAACTGGATCCCACCACCCTGGTTTGAGCCCTTGTCTGCTTAGCTCGCCGGGGGGTTGCGCTTCGATCAAACCCAGACTCAGAACAGCAGCTGCTCACACCTCTTGCCGCCTTTTTTGCCGCAGCCTTCCATTTGGCTTGTCAATCCACTTGGTTCTGGAAATCACTTGGAAGATTCTGCTCAGCTTATCTGCACAAGTCGTAGATGTTGTGAAAGTGACAAGAAAGTGACGAGGAACAAATCAGAGGGTGAAAAGAGAGCGAGACGTTGCAGGACATGCTCAAGGGAATGCATCAGAAGCACAATGCAAGAGGACGCGACCAGAAAATGGTCAGGAAGTTACAAGCATTGAAGTAGACCCGAGGAAAAAGGTATATCTTGGGAGGCCACACGAGCTACGTCTGCACGTAAGTACGCGTGGGCGTGCGTGCGTGTGAACTTACGTGCGTGCATACATACGCATGCCATGTATGTATGTATGTATGCATGCATGTATGTATGTCTGTATGAATGTATGTATACATGCACGTTTGTATGCTTGTACGCATCTATGTATGTGTATATATATATATATATTTATTTATACAAATATGTATGCATGTTTTGACCCGGGCTTAACTTCGCATCCGTGGGTTGTGACAGCGGTCGATCAGGAATTGCAGAATCCTTCAATGAGGCATCACCAATATTCCATGTCAGATCTATTCCTCCCAAGCATCGCCCAACCCGCCTTGAGAGGCGCGAATACAGCGACTGTCCTGAGAATTGCCAAAGGCAAAGGCTTCTATTCTAAAGAGGCTCCTCTATTCCAAGCCACTTCCTCGAAGAAGGTCTTTGTTCATATCCGTTGTGCAACAGGCTGCGTACCCCTGTTTACCATGCGGGTAGGGGGCAGAAGTAGTAGCAACCCTCATACATAGCTTAGCGATGAAGACTCCACTGAACTGTCATCGGCCGGCTTCAGCCTGATGTCCCACAATTTGACGTATGCGCCAAAGCTCGGCACACTTCACAACCCATTGGGTTCATCTTGGCTCCCTGAAAGTCGTCCTTCCCAGAACCGCTTGGCACACAGCCAAATAAACATTGGAGCATGCAGCATGCCCTACTATACCAGTGCATGATGGCTGTTAGTATCATCCAAGACTGCTAAACGGATTGCCCGAGATCGGGGTGACTGTTAGTGGATGGGGGGAGCGTGGGCAGAATGCCAAATCAGTGCTAGGCAAAATAGTGACAACGGAATGGTACGATGCATTTCTAAAATCAAGCATTTGGTGAGTTGCGCTGTGATTGACTCAAGAACAAGCGGAAGCGTGACACAACAAAAAGGCAACATGGGTGACTGCAGGTAGAAACTGCTGGCACGCCCAACAAACACCCGAGAGGTCCTTTTGGGAATGCACAGAAAGACCACAGAGGGCCCGATTCTTTGAAGATATCCCGAGGTAGTCACTGGGAAAGCAATCCAGAACCGATCACACAGCTTTGAGCTGTATATTGGTGCTTTTCTCTAAAGCAACACCAAGCCGTTCAAAACTCCACAAAACGTAAATGCGCTTCTCGACTGTTGTTTCTTCCGAGCATGGCGGTGTTCGGCTCGTCTCGGGGACATGAGAAATTCACGTGGCTCGGGACTCGCCAGGGTTTCTGCGCAGGGTTCAGCTTGCATGTTGCTCCCCCTGTGCACGCTTTGCTCTGCGAATCTTCTAAGGCCCACAGAATGAATTGCCGCCGGGATGTCGTGGGCAACACGTACATCTTGGCCGTTTGACTGGCACTCGTTGATAAGTTGATCCAAACGTCAGGAACATGTCGTGGGAATGTCCAAATTGAAAATGGGCAGCTTTGGCTCCGTCTTCGAAGGTAAAACCAAAGGAAAGCCAACCATGCATGCGGCTTCCTTCAATGGTAGGGAAGAAGCGCGCCATTCCAAGGGCATGTGCTTTCAGTGCTTAGCGGCTGAAGGATCCAGGCCTGTCTTTGACACCCTCCAGAAAAAAAGAAAAGAAACATGCTCTCTGTCGGCGATTAAGGGAAACGGCGTAACCAGTTACTGTCCAACATGATAACATGAAAATGCTCGAGATCCGTTGGTGGACATCATTTAGGCGGGGAATCATGTCCATCAACCACTTTTGACATGTTTCCCTGTTGAAACTTCTTTGGACATCTTCTCTCAGTCAAGCCAAAGAGCAAGGAGAGGCCAGAAACGCACAGCCCAATAAAGTTCAAGGCCCACCGCCCTCGTCAAGGAAAATCAAGGGTCCACTGTGGTGACTTCCTGAAAGTGGCAACAAAAAAAGCCACTAACCAGCACCTTCCCACAACTGTTTGTTGGACAGTACTTGGGACTTTGGACATGGGAAAAAGCAGATGCGGGAGAGGGGGGGGGGCGCTGGTACCAACCTATATGTGTTCATAGGACCCATGTCCAGATTCTGTGTACCGATCATGATCTTCAAAAACAACATGATTACTTGGGTGACTTGCCGTTTTCCGAAAATGCGGATGCCTGGAACCAACAGCAGGAGTAGGGGCAACACCGACACCGATTGCAGAATCCCTGCTCGGAGTTTCCAGCTTCAACTTGGCTTCAGAAAAATGCATTCGCCGAGGTGCAAAGGGATCTGCGCAGTACTTCAGGAAGAAGACCGCCTGCCCAGGAAATTGCGCGTCACATGCGGCATGGAACATTTGCGGATCGTCCGAGTGGATCTTGGTGGGAAACATCAAGTCCCCACTCCTCAATTGACCATCGACAAAACGGCGACACCAGGGTCCAGGGTAAAAGTCTAAACGGCGAAATTGTGCAATGAACGTTTGACAGAAGATGGGTCAGCAAAACCAATGCGAATGAGTCCCTTGTGATTTGACTGCGATGTCAAATATGGGCACCCCAAAAAACAACGTTCACTCCCCCTTGTGAGTTCTCTCTGGCAAGCGGGAACCCAAAGCACTCGGGTCCCAACTGCTCTGCATCTTCAAGCAACCAAATCCCAAATCCCCCTACGGTAACCAGCGCTTGGGACCCGAATTGGCCAACCAACCTGGCACCAGCTTCCTTCTCGTGGCTTGGTTGCATGGTTCTCCATATGCCCAGAATCCGGACGCTGTCCGGAAAGGCTCAGGATCCCCTGCTAAAAGTGAACTTGCGGAAACCCAAACACTACACCTAAAAACCAAAGGAAGCGGACGGCTGGGAACCGCCAAGAATCCCAACCTGCTGAGGGTTACCCGACAAAGGGTGCTTTATTTTCGTAGCCAGTGCCTGAAGCTGTATGAGGTTGGCACTTAATGGCACTTACCCACCAGCTTATGTTTGTTGCATTTATATTGTCCTGGTGTCAGATTTTTTGACACATAGGACTTGCGTCAAACCCGGCAAATGCTGCTTCTATTTAACAGTGATGAAGTTGAAACGCAGCTTGCGCAGTTGCACAATCCAGTGACCGCCACTCACTCCCTGCAACAACGACAACAAAAGGAAAACAGTTCCGCAGAGAGAAATGCTCCTTCTTGAGGGGGCTTCTCAAAAAAGTGGTCCACTATGGTCGAATGCCTTTAGGGCTCCCGTAAATCCCAACATGGTGTTCATTTTGAGAAATGGGAGTGCCAGTTGCATGTTTTGGGGGCTCGAAAAGAGGTGGTTGTCCTGGAGTCCTTTCGGTGTCCCTTTAAACAAATAACTAAAAAGGGGTTCCCCAAAAAACGTGACACACCTAAATACCCTCTTGGAGGTTTTCAACCAGGGTTCTGCAATCGAGCAATATCTCCCGACGCATCGGAGACCATCCCTTCAACAGAACCCGATAATTACCGGACCGGAGGGGGTCATTCTCATCCCATCTCCAACAAACTCCTCACTTCCTGAGTGGCTGGGCCGAAAAAAGTCCAAACTTGCTGTTTACCACTAAAATGGTCCAAACCCAAAAGTTGAAAGTCCAGGAACTCAGGAAGTGCGATTCAGATGCAAACAACTCAATCACCTCTCGGGGAACCAATACATGAGGTTGATGCAGGTACGGGCTTTGGAGGTATGGAGGTTATATACCACTTATATATATATATATATGGTCACCCCTATATATGCTCACCCCCTCCTCTTGAAAGTGTCAGTTTTTCTAGACTGTACAAGTGAAAAGGTGGGCCCTGGGGGGGGGGGGGGGAGGTGTGCATATATATATATATATATCTATATATATATATATATACCGGGCATATACTGCCCCGGACAAGCCTCTGGTGGCATATGGCTGAGGGTCAAAATCTGGGGTAGGTGCACCACCCAATTTAGTGTATTGTAGTGGGATATTCACTGGGGGTACGGGATTTTGACCCATGGCCATATCTGCGCATCCATACCTTCACACCCCGCGCCTGGAAATGCCAACTTGACAATTTGTGGCTCCATGCTTTGGATCCCTGCCACCACAACCATGGGCCCTTGTTGAAGTTCCGCCCTCGAACAGCGCGCACCGGTCTCTGGCTTTTGCGGGTACCCTTCTTGGGGTTTGAAAGGGAAACCAAAAGGAACACCGACATCTATTTTTTTGGGGGGGATGTCAGGTACCTCTATTTTGAACCTTCCCCCCCCCTCGCCGGGGTAGCCAACAATTGACTTGCCCCCCCCACCAGTAGCCTGTTGTGTTGCAGATCCCGAAAACCAACTAGACGACGAGTGGCCCGGAAGCATAGAGGCAAGTTGATGCAGGTGAGGTAACTCTCGCAAAGTTAGCATGAGGAGTTGGCAGGCGAAGCAATTCTCAAAAAGTTGGCATGAGAAGCTGGCAGGTTAAGTAACTCTCGAATAGTTGGCTGGCAAAGTTGGCGGGTGAAGTAATTCTCGCAAAGTTGACATGAGAAGTTGGCAGGCGAAGTAACTCAAGAGAAAAGTTGGCATGAGAAGTTGGCAGGTGAAATAACTCTCAAAGAGTTGGCATGAGAAGTTGGCAGGTGAAGTAACTCTCGAAAAGTTGGCGTGAGAAGCTGGCAGGTGAAGTAATTCTCGAAAAGTTGGCACGAGAAGATGGCGCGTGAAGTAACTCTCGAAAAGTTGGCGTGAGAAGCCGGCAGGTGAAGTAACTTTCGAAAAGTTAGCATGGCGCGAGAAGTTGGCAGGCGAAGTAACTCTCGAAAAGTTGGCAGGCGATGTTGGCAGGTGAAGTACCTCTCGAAAAGTTGGCATGAGAAGCTGGCAGGTGAAGTAATTTGTGCGAAAAGTTGCCACGAGAGGTTGGCAGATAAAGTATTTCTCGAAAAGTTGGCATGAGAAGTTGGCAGGTGAAGTAATTCTCGAAAAGTTGGCAGGTGAAGTTGCCACGAGAGGTTGGCAGGTAAAGTATTTCTCGAAAAGTTGGCATGAGAAGTTGGCAGGTAAAGTAATTCTCGAAAAGTTGGCATGAGAAGCTCGCAGGTGTAGTAACTCTCGAAAAGTTGGCATGATAAGCTCGCAGGTGAAGTAACTCCTCGAAAAGTTGGCACGAGAAGTTGGCAGGTGAAGTAACTCTCGAAAAGGTGGCATGAGAAGCTGGCAGGTGAAGTAATTCTCGAAGTTTCGGCATGAGAAACTGGCAGGTGAAGTAATTAACCCTCAAAAAGCTGGAGCGGCGGAGGCGCTCCGCGTGCTACATTTGCAATTTACAGTTGCGATTTTCCAGCCATTTGTATCTAAAAGTTGCGATTTTCCAGCCGGAGCTGCGGGAGCACGCTCCGCGTACTACGTCTGTACTTAAAAAGTGCGATTTTCCAGCCGGAGCTGCAGCAGCCTCCGCGTACTACGTCTGTACTTAAAAGTTGCGATTTTCCAGCCGGAGCTGCAGGAGCACGCTCCGCGTACTACGTTTGTACTTAAAAGCTGCGATTTTCAAGCCGGAGCTGCCGCGGACCAGGGGGGAATCGAACCCGGGACCGCGGGATTGCGAAAGCAGGCGCGCACACCACGAGACAACTTCCAAAAGCCGTTTCGCGAGCAAGAAAATCGCACGGCGCCACAGCGAGAGCGCTTCGACACGCACGATCTCCGCAGAGGGTTCATCGGGCTCAAGACAGATGCGCACGGCGCCACAGCGAGAGCGATCCGACACGCACGATCCCCGCAGAGGGTTCATCGGGCTCAAGACAAATTCGCACGGCGCCACAGCGAGAGCGCTTCGACACGCACGATCTCCGCAGAGGGTTCGCCAAGGCTCAAGACAAATTCGCACGGCGCCACAGCGAGAGCGCTTCGACACGCACGATCTCCGCAGAGGGTTCGCCGGCTCAAGACAAATTCGCACGGCGCCACAGCGAGAGCGCTTCGCACACGCACGATCTTCACGCCACAGCGAGAGCGCTTCGATCTCCGCAGAGGGTTCGCCTCAAGACAAATTCGCACGGCGCCACAGCGAGAGCGCTTCGACACGCACGATCCCCGCAGAGGGTTCATCGGGCTCAAGACAAATTCGCACGGCGCCACAGCGAGAGCGCTTCGACACGCACGATCTCCGCAGAGGGGTGCGTTTCGTAAGCTCCTGTCGGGCCTACCCCCGCCAGAAAAAGAAGAAGAATTAAGAGTCGAGAAGTGAAGGTAGAACAGAAAAGTTAGCTTGTGTTTTTAGGATAGTGAAGTAACACCCGACAAATTAGCTTGTGCTTTTAGTAGAATGAGATAACAGCCGAAAAGTTGACATGAGAAGTCCGACAAATTAGCTTGTGCTTTTAGTAGAATGAGATAACAGCCGAAAAGTTGACATGAGAAGTTGGCAGGTGAAGTAACTCTCAAATTGGCAGGTGAAGTAACTCTCAAAAAGTTGACATTAGGCAGGTGAAGTAACTCTCGACAAGTTGGCATGAGAAGTTGGCAGGTGAAGTAACTCTCGACAAGTTGGCATGAGAAGTTGGCAGGTGAAGTAACTCTCGACAAGTTGGCATGAGAAGTTGGCATGTGAAGTAACTCTCGACAAGTTGGCATGAGAAGTTGGCAGGTGAAGTTGGCAGCCGCTTTTAGAAGAAGAACCCTTCGCAATGCTTCCGGGAATAAAACCATGAACAAAAAACTCCAGTAGAGAGGTTAGAATGAGGCTACCCTTTTTCCTGCAGTCCATTTTTCGTAGGGGAACCCTCCACCAAAAAGGGGGAGAGAAGGGCACCAATTGCTGGGGCACCTAGGCAGAAGCCACTGGCCCACCCCATGAGGCGACCGCGTTCACGCCTGCCACTGAAAGGCCAAGGCGGTTCGAAGCAACGTGCCCATGAGCCCAGGATCCTGGCGCCGACGAGTGGAGTAAGGCGACTTCTACCCGGAGACCAGAGATCTCGCTTGCCCGAAGCCCACCTTTTGACCTTTTGGTGTTCCCATGTGGGTTGAAAAAAAAACCCCGTGGACAACCCTTGTATCCTTATGCCTCAGTATCGGTCAGTATCGGTTTTTTTTCCTCTGCATCGGTTTGCAGCGTTTTGGCAGCTCTGGCTCGAAAGTCGCGACTTTTCCGTACAAGTGTAGTAGGCGAAGTACACTCTGCCAGCTCCCAGCCCCAGCTGGAAATCGCAACTTTCAGTACAAGTGTAGTACACAAAGTACATTTTGGCAGCTCCAGCTGGAAAGTAGCAACTTTTCAGTAGTATGCGCAGGACACTTTGGCAGCTCCGGCTCGAAAGTCGCAGCTTTTCAGTGCAAGCAAGTGTAGTATGGTGTAGTATACGAAGTACATTTTGGCAGCTCCACAGCGGCAGTCGCAACTTTTCAGTACAAATGTAGTACACAAAGTACATGTTGGCAGCTCCAGAGAAGGCTGCAGGGCAGCTGGTTGGATTCGGCATGGCGGCCAATGAGTTGGGTATCGGTTGGGTATCGGTTTGGGTATCGGTTTGGGCCCTGCAAATTTATGATTCCGCAATCTTGGTTTGCGACAACAACTAGGACCTGATGTGTGTCTTCATGGCTTCTGGGGGTATCGGTTTTTTTTCCTCTGTATCGGTTTACAATGGTTTTGGCCTGCGAAACAAGTTAAGGGACGGCCCCTTACATACCGAAAAGGCGCGGGGTATTTTTTTCAGCCCATGTTGGTCCGTTTTGAGAAAGAAAAACAAAAACATGTCGGGCACATTTTGGGGTTGATTTGTTTGCCTAGAGTCTCCATGACCCTTTGAAAATGGGGTCAATACCCTAATCATGGCGTCATGGACCTATTTTCAAAGGGTCATGGAGACTCCAACCACACTGCTTCTTGGCCACTTGAGCTTTTTGGACATGGGCGAGAGGCAGTTCTTGGGACCTGGGTGCTGTGCAGTGGCTCTCCAAAAACCTTCCGTCAGAAGCGAGAGAGCTCCAAGAAGCTTGCGGGAACCACACTGTCTCCATGTGCATTGGGTTGCAATCATAGGTGTCCTTCCTGGTTGAAAATAGATGGGTTTCCCTGGGAGTTGATTGAACCACCAGGTAAACCAGGCATCGCCCTCTACGTTTCAACCAAATCAACCAAAAAGGACACCTATGCTTGCAATGGGGGGGAATACACAGTGCCGAGCCCATGGGCTATCGGCTGAGCTGACTGAAACCTTACCCTTGCCGACCCATCGGTTTTGGGCTCCTGATGGCGCGACCTTACAAGCCTTGGCACCCGCAAACATGCAAACACATTTCGACCAGGCTGAAATTCAGACACTTTTCTTGGTGCAATAGGCAGGGAACGAGAAATGGAATGACCCTTACCATGCAACTGTTGGTGTCCTTTCGGATGGCTGGGTTCATTCCCACACTCCCTATCGCACCAGTTTTCGAGCACATGCGCCACGTAAGGCTTGGGGCTCAGAACCTCTGCAGCAATGTGGGTTCCCTTTTTGGGGGTCGTTTTGAAGGGACACCGAAAGGAAAATCAAGATCCATTTTTGGGGGCCCCTAAGAAAAGACACCCATGTGGCAGCAAGAAAGGACATGAAGTACTGTATTCAGCTGTAACAAAACTTGACTTCGAAATTCAGAGCGTCAATACAAGCCAGAATTTTGCAAAAAAATCCACCGAAGCCTTTGCAAAAAGAAGAAAAACAACACAAACAACAAAAAACGGGAAAAACAAACAAAACACATTGGCCTCAGTGGTGCAGTCCCATGTCGTGCGTGGCCTCGGCGCCTTGTGTAAAAAGTATTGGTGCGTTCCTCGCCTTTCAGAAAGCTCTGCTGACGGTTGAGGTCCTTTGAAAGTGACCGATTGGCGGCTTGCCCAGACAAACCCGGCAAAGGCGACAATTTGCTGGTGTCCATTGAAACTGCGCGCAGAAGTAGAGGTGCCCAAAACTTGGGAAATGGAGAAACACCTCCCTCAGGTTCCAAATACCTGAGGAGGTGCTTTACCCCAGTTTAACACCTGGAAAGCCATCCTCAAAGGGAATTGGGGCCCTGAGGGCCTGAACAAAACATATGTTGACCACATATTTATCAACCCCAGTTTATTAATGGGGGGGTGTTCCCCTCCAAAAGTGGTCTGATTCCCCACTAAACCCAGGGACGCCCCCAATTAATAAACGAGCGATTAACATTGGGTCAACTTTAGCGATTTGCTCCACGTCTGGCAAGGCAACAAGCTCGCCTCCACATACTCCAGGCACAGCAGGAGTCGCGGATGCGACAACTCCTCCGCCAAATGGTGTCCATTGACTGCTTTCTCGACCAAAAGCCACGACCAAAGGCGTCTTTTTGGGGGACCGCATTTTGGTTGGTTTGAAAGGCAACCCAAAAGCAAACCAACATTTTTGAATTTTAGGCCCCCTTTTTTTCAGAAGCTGCTTCTGGAGGGGGATGGAAGCGTTGGGTGCACAACTAGGTCGGAAAGGGCGTGGATTAGCCATCTGCCACGACTTGATGCTTGGAAAGATCGTCCGACAAAGTCCAGATGCAAAAGGCGCATTCCAACCAGCACTAGGGTCCTAACCACTGCTTTTTGGACACTTGGGATTTGTTGCATTCTGACTCTGCAAGTGTTTGTATCGAACTCCGCACTCAGTTTTTCAAGTCCAGAAACAGATAAGTGGGTGCGGTTGTCAAAAAGTTGGGGCAGTCCCAAAATGGAAGCCTGGTACACAGAAACAAGCCTGCGGTCTCTTGGTGGCTTAATTTTTACCCAGTGAGAAATGCCCGGTAGCCGGAGTTGGACGTAATTAGCAGAAGAAGTGGGTGGCTGCAAGCCCTCGCACGGTCCTTCAAGGAGCCCTTGGGCGGTAAGTCCATAGTGGCGATAAGCCCATCCTGAGTCGCTCGCACGGGCTCGCGAGGTCTTCCCCAAAGTGGGCACACACGATAAATAATTCGGTAGCATGGTTGCATATTGGCTTTACCCGCACCCGCAAGAACTGCCTCTTCCCATGTCCAAAATCCCAAGTACTGTCCAACAAGCAGTGGTTGTGGGGTGCCGGATAGTGTTTGTATACCCAAAATGTTCTTGGACGTGGATTGCTTCGTGACATGAGCACATGGTTCAATTTTGGAACTCTATGAAACTAAAGCTCTATACAGTGTAAGCAAGAAATCACAAGACGGCGACAATTACACACGCTGGCTTCAGCTACCGCACTCTGTACATAGACAACACAAGTGGGCGTCTTCTTCTGAGGGGTACCTCAAGTGGCTAAAACAAAAAAACAAAACAAACATTTTGGGGGTCCCCGAAAAAGGACACACCTGAACAGTCAAAAGTCAGGGCATTCTAAGTAGTTTTGGATTTCTGGAGGTTTCTGGCCGTGGCGTTTGAATTGATTTCTGGGCGGAGCGTCGAGACGCCACGGTTTCTTGAGCGTGATGCTGACGATGCTCTCTTCACCGTGCCCTGGCGTCACAGACCGGCGTATGCCCCACGGCTTCCGTAGGGGGCACGCGAGATACGGCAAACCCGGCCAATGTAGTCCTCATCATTCCAACATGCGGCGCAAATTGGCGACAGCGCGGCTTTACCTTGCATGGTGAACAAATCTCCCAAGCGAGAGCCTGCGAGTGAATGAACACCGCTGAAGGCGAGAGCGCTTGTTTCAACCGCCATATCCTCGTCACATGGTTGGCCCGTTCATGGAACAACTGCACATATGCTACGAGTGCCGTGTCGCACCGTTTCTCTAACTCTGCAGATTCGAACATGTAAACCGGGACGTCACAAGGGTGTGCACAAGGCAAAGCGCAAGCAGAGCGCAACGCTTCTCTTCCCACCGCGAAGAGGCGGAGCAAATCTGAGGATTGCCTCGTGGCTATGATTTCTATTGTTGAAGCCTTCAAGCCAACCATTTAGTTTACCTAGGTCCTCCAGTAGAGAGACTAGAATAAGGGTACCCTTTGTCTGGAGTTTATTTGAGTAGGCGAACCCTCTCCCAAAAACGAGTGAGAAAGGGCACTACTGGGACCTAGTTATTTATTGTACGTGTGGATGCATGTCCACCACCCATTTTGCTGAGTTTCCAGGCACTCCAGTTAAGCGGCCAAGTGTGTGATGTAGACTTTCATATCTTGTCGTCCAAGAGGACTTTGACGCAGGGGGTTCTTGGACTACAAAAACCACAATATGCTTTTGGGGATACTTCAAAACACCTGAAATAAAGGACCCCCCCAAAAAAAAAAACACATCACGAGCTCTGTTTAGTCGCACAAATCCCCCGCCCCAACTTGGTCGAGTCATCCCTCGCCCCGCTGGAATGGCAAGGTGGCATCCCCTCCGAACCACTCTGCAGCCTGGCCGCGGAAACACCCCACACCCTGAGCTGTTGGAGAAAAATACGTATTTTGGGGGTAGTCGGTTCTCTTTCCCGTTGACTTTATCCAAGGTGGGTTTTAGAGATTTAGATACCAACATTCCACCAATAGGCTTGTAAGGCAGTATATACCCTGAAAATGAGTGGTATTTTACCTCCGTACCTCCAAAACACATACCCAAAAACTTCCTAAGACAAGCAAGGGGTTCCCCCTGCCGGATGGTCCCAAGCGTTGAACCCGACAAAAATATAGGGGCTGATTCCCCGTTGTTCCAGCCATCGTTCTTTCAAAAAACCAGCCATTTCCCCAGAGTTTTTGGTGGTTTTCTAGAAAACGGATCCCTGGAAAGAATGGAAATGGAAGTTACCCCTAGAAAAAAAAAGTAAAATCAAAGGCGACGCGAGTGGACCAAGGCCCGGGCAAACTCCTCGAGCTGCGCCACTTTTTTCAGCACGCGAGGCTCCTATCGCTCGGGCTCACGCTCGATATCGCGATAAGAGACGCGCGGGCTCACAAGGCTGGGTCCATCTGGTCACAAGCGGCCCGCAGGCTCTGATCCATATGTCTCCTCGATATCGGACTTCGTGGAAGGTTGGCATCAGGAACGCAAAAGGAGACTGCTGCCATTTTTGGGGCCCTCTATTTTGAAAAAAGGACAGTTTTCGCCTAGCCAAGAGTACTTTACATATTTGGATGAGACCCTCATGGTGCCACCCCACAAATTTTTGCCTGAGAACCCTACATGTCGGACTTTGAGGAACTCAGCATTGGAAGGTTTCCAAGCGATTGGCAAGCGGGTTCAAACACAACGTCCCATGGCTAGGGGAAGAGGGGCCCCGCCAAAGGCACTCAAAAGGAACCCTATGGGCCTCTAACAGGCCTTCTATGGGAGTTATTGTTGTCATCCGCGGCATAGATGTTGTCATCTCAAGGTAATTTGGGTCGATATGTGTGTTGGAACGTCTCCCAGAACATCCGTGAAGATGTCCCCTATTGGCCCTTAACAGGCCTTGTAAGTCGATATTGGCCCCTATTGGAATTGGGGGGTGGGGGCCCATTGACAAGCCCTTGACAATCACAGAGCATGGCGTGTGCAACACGTCTCCACAATTTGATGCATGTAAAACACTATGGGATTGCGCTCAAACAGTTCCCATACTGTGCGCTATGCCTGGGATAGGACAAAACACAAACATCATCACACTCGTGTTGCTCTCCAGCGCTTTCTCTTCTCTATAGCCATGTGTGATTTTGCAGACGCCATCCTGGGGTGTAAGGCAGGAACCTTTGGACATTATATATATATATATGTATCGGCCCGCAGAAAAGACACACAAACAGGAAATCTTCGGATGATACAGATGATATGTCATATTCAGTCAACCCTAAAACAATATGTTATGAGACGCCAAATATGGCCCGTGGCACATTTTGATTTGTGCCAGAAGGCTTGGGGAGATGTTCGACCACAAGAACTCGCTCTGCAATTGGCTGGGTGGCAATTACATGTCCTCACGGAAATCAGAGACGCAACACAAGCTGCAGCCAAACATGGGTGTGTCTTGTTTTAGGGGACCCCATAAAAATGATTACACTGTGAGTTAAAACTGCCTGCTGCCTTCCTTTTGACCCTTAGCAAAAAAGCACCCTCAGAAAAAATGAATAGTCACACATAGTTGCTAAGCAAACAGGACACCAGTGCTGCTCAAAAACATAACTTAGACCTACAACTTGACTGGGTAAGATTGGCAACACTGGGCCGTTTGAAATGGAGCATCCGATCCATCCCTACTACGAAAAGGGATTGGAGGATTGGACCAAATCCTTTCGCAAACCCAAGGATGAAGGATTAGCCTTTGAACAGCCCAATAAACTCAGAAGTTCACGCGCACCAAATACCTTGACATGAATTTAGGCTTGTGTGTTAACTGCCAGGGTTAGCTCTGGAATAAAATAAAATGTCATACTTCAAGAAGGATTCCCCATGAAAACAACTTTCATCCGGCGCTCGCAATCATACTTGCCCATGCATCAAAACGTGTTTATTGCTTGAACACATTGCGTGCATTGCTAAGATAAGGTGCTTCGCTGCTGGTGATGCTTAGGATTCTTAGAATACAGTTGAGGGTTCCCCAAATGGCAAGTTGCTGCTTCCCTTGGCGTCCTTAGGTGGTTTCTCAAACGGCCATCTTGTATCAAGTAGATGTACTCATAGGAGATGGTTCTTTGGGAAACTAACAATTGGTTGTTTCAGGTTCCAGGCTGGAACCTTACCTAGGTCCTCCAGTTGAGAGGTTTTCCTGTAGTCTATTTTAGTAGGGGAACCCTCCCCCAAAAAGAAACGGTAAAAGGGCACCTAGCTGGGGGACCTAGTTGCTAAAGGTCCCTTACCGTGGGTGGCCTTCTGGTGGGTTGCAATGCACCCAGTTTGGCACAACTTTCACTCCGGATTCACGAAGTCTGGGCGCCCCCCGCGGCAAGGTGCAGCGACTCAAAGCTCAAGCCCTCGCGGGTGCGGTCTCATCCCAGACATGGGTGGCTCGTCTTGCTTTGACTCCCAGGGCAACTAAAGATACTTCCACTCGAGATACATTCCCAAACAAGACTAAGAGAAAAACAAAACCGAGAAAATGACAAGTAGGGTAACCCCAAAATGGAACCCTGGTAAACGGACCCAAGGACTAATTTTCCGCAATGCCCTGGTTGAATGTTGACCCATACTTGAAGAGACGGTTTTTGTCGCAGCACTCACTCCATGAGCCACCCAGGCTCTAACTTGGGGTATGAACCTGGAGTCTCCTTCTGACCCTTTAAAAATAGGTCCATGACCCCAGTATTTAAGGCAATGACCCCATTTTTAAAGGGTCATGGAGACTCTAGGAAACTGAATCCAGCAAGCCATGTAAAACAACCAAAAATAAGGATCACAACTCGGGTTCTGAACTTGAATCACAACCAACATCACAAATCACAAACGTAGATCTGGTTACTTATCTTGCTCCCAACTGCCCTCCTTCCTGGCCGTTTCTCCTTATGAGCCATGAACTCTGGCTGCAAGTGCCGCAAAAGAATCCAAAGACATCTTCACCTTCTGCCCATAGGTGTCCTTTTAGGGGAATAGATGGATATCCCTGGTAGATGATTAAACCACCAGGCAAACCAGGAATCGCCATCTATTTTTCTAGCAAAACCACCAAAAAGGACATCTTCACCTTCTGCCTTGGGCCACAGGAACGAGCCGCGAGGCATGTGAACCCGAGCCGAGCCAAGCCTTCGGCAATCGGGCCAGTGGGGTGCAAGCCATGCGTTTTGCCACGAAGCAGTCTGGACGCTGCTGGACTTAATCGCAGCTTTTGATTAATAAATCCTCCCACAATTCAATAATTATTTTTCGGGGATCCCCCAAAAAATCGCCAATACTAAATCTAAATTAGGCCAATACTAAAGTTAATTACTGCACAAAAGCGGCGATTAGTTGCTCTGAAGTCCTGGGTGATTTGGAGCCCAAAAAATCTTCCGTGGAACCCATTCACACATTGCACCCACCAGAGGTTGAAATCCAAATCCGAACCACCGATCCAAACACCATCTAAGCGTTGCCTGATTCATGGCATGCTCGATGACCCCGGCGACTGGTCGACGTCAGTATTGGCAATGGCTCCCCTTGGCAATGGGATTACCTAATGGTTTGGATTGGGGTTTGAACCCCTTGCTCTAGAAGGTAAACCTGATTAATGGCATACTTGATGACCCAGTCTCACACTGGTCGACCTCACTTTGGCCATCCCCTTGCCATGTTGCCATGGCTCTGAATCAGACCAAAAAAACTGTCCATCCCTTTGCAACCGCAAAAAAAAAAAACACGTTGCGACCGCCAAAGAAACAAACCAACAAAAATCGTTGCCACCGCCAAAAAAACAAAACCAATGCCACCGCCCGGCCTCCAGCTCCGGATGCTCCGGCCTGCTGCACAGCACGTCGTGGAAGCGGTGCCGCTTGGCCAAGTCCTGGCCAAGAACGAAACTCTTCCGCTCCGATGCGCGGCAGATGTCGGCGTTCAGAGCGCCGCTGACCAAACCACACTTTACAACCCCAACACTTGGCTGACGTTGGAAGGGGAGCAAACAAATATTTTCTTAAGTGGGGACTTCCCACTAAACCACTTATGGGCTTGCAAAAACCTGACGCTTGGCCAACTGTTTCACCGACGAATTGGAGTTTTAGATTGTACATGGCTCTATTCAGTTGGTAGTTGTCTAGCTCCAGTAAAGAGGTTAGAATAAGGGTACCAGCCTTTTTTCTGTAATCTATTTTGGTAGGGGAACCCTTTCCAAAAAAAAGCTGGTAAAAGGGCCTAAGGGCACTCCTGGGGGACCTAGAGCCAAGAGAGAAGCAGAGAGACAGGTCCTGCGAGCGGGCAAGCAACTGAAGAGGAATGCAGTTGACGGAAGAGAATGAGAGAAGCTGAAGAAGCGGATGGGGAGAAGCGCAGTCGCGAAATGCGGTCGAGCAAAAGCCAGAATCAAGCCATCCCCTCTGTGGATGGACACAATCGTGCAGCCGGCTGCTTCGATGGGCTTTAACCTCCCAAAACGCCTGTAGGCATCTCGACATTTGCTGGCACGCATCAACCCGCAAAAAAGACACCTTTAAAACTGGCAACCAAAATCTAAGCGAAAAGAGACATCTAGCGCAACAAGTTTGTCCCAGTAAAAAAGTACAAAACATGCGACATGCGGCCAACCTGGACAAAACTAGGAAAGCCCCCCCCCCCCCGCCAAAGGGCCTTCCGGGTTGGCTCGTTCTACCCGCTGGTGAACTCAGTCATAATTCATGGTAACCATGTCACAAACCACAAAACATCATTTGGTTTGGTTTTTTGGGGGACCCCTAAAATGGTGGTGTTCCTCCTTTCCTTAAAATTTAAAATCCACCAAACACGTGCTACCAACTCAAAAAACACAAACACACACCCAAATGGCAGCAAATCTGCCGAAGGTCACTGTGCAAGCTACTTGCAAGCTCCGAGGTCACCACTCTATGGAGCTACATGGCTGGCCCATTTCTTCTTGACCTGGTACCCCTTTTGGTTGGTGCAAACGGGAAGCCCAAAAGCACCATCATCACTTGAGAGGGCCCTGAAAACAAACACGCCCAAAACTTTGGACCTTCTGCTACAACAGCCTCCCGTCCTCAAGAAGTGGTTCGTGACGCAACAAACAAATCGATGCAATGATGCTAGGACCGACTCAAAATATATATATATATGTATATATATATATATGTATATATATATGTATATGTATATATATATATATGCCTGGAGTCTCCTTCTGACCCTTCAAAAATAGGTCCATGGCCCCATTATCTAGGGTACTGACCCCATGTTTCAAGGGTCAGAAGGAGACTCGATTCTGTCCTTAATGAGCTTCGTGCCCGTCACGACGCATGTTTGCTTGTTGTGCCTTGGCGTGCAGCGCAACATACCGGAAAACTCTCACCCCATGAAGACATGGAACCCTTCGACCTTCGTTGGACCCGCTCTTAAAAAAAACGAAGGAAGATGGCCGATTCGAAGGGACCCCCGAAGCGAAGGCCAGCTTGGGGCACAGATTTCTAACGGGAATGCTCGAGTTTGAAAGCTGGCAGGAGGTTCAAAAGAACCAACCTATGACCCTTGCTTGGAAAACCAGTATGATATCTGGGAATTCGAGCCAGCTGACTTAAGAATCTCTAGCCGGATGGACATGCCTGTGAGGCTCCCCGGGAAATCAAATCGGCACATGTGATTTACAAGGAAGGCCTGGGCAACATAAAAGAAGGGGAGAAAAAGAACGTATACGTCCTTTTCGGTGAACATCTATGTGCAACCGTTTCGGTGTGTCTCCAGACCCGGGATGTGCCTTTTCTTGGCGCAAGGTCGCCAATATGTTGTTTCCGGGGCCCAATCAGAAGGGCTTGACCAGCCAGCATCACCTTGGCCAAAAGAACAAACAAAAAGAAAAAAAGAAAAACAGAAGAGAAAAACTAAAGATCAAACTTCGGGCCATGCCAGACTACAAACCGACCAACAAAAACAAGCCCAACGCCTCGCATGAGTCGTCTGCACGGCGAATCTAGTTTCAGCCCGAGGCCTGGGCCGGTAGCTCGTGTTGCTCGCCTGGGATCGCGAGAGAGAGTTCGCATGGCTCCGTCGGTCTGTCCTGTGACTCCAACCTCAAGGGTACCAGCGAAGCTTCCACGCCCCACAGACCTGGACCTTCCTATGTCGCGTTGTTTTTTTGAGGCTCGAAGTGGCCATGGGCTTTTCAACCCCCAAATCGGTTAGCCCCCAGTGAACATCCGATTCAATCCAACCACTAAAATAAGTTCTAACATGGGTGGTGCAGCTATCTCAAAATGGGATCCCATTGGTTTTGACCCACAGCCAAGAAGCCTTTGTCGCAGATCTCGCAGATCTCGGAGTTTCAGCGGAAGAAATGCAAATGAGGGAAGCCGCTCCAAATGGCCAGCACCGGTGCAGCCTTGGTTTCTTCTGTTGCGGTTACCCCTTTGTTGGTGGTTTTAAAGGGACACTAAAAGGAAACCAGTCATTTTTTTGGGGGGGGTCCCCTAAAAAACGGCCCGCCCGTATTTCTTTCAGGGTACATTATCCTTGCGGCTCATTGGTTGCCCGTTCCAGGGTTCCCCATACCTTTTGCCTGTCCACAAGCCAAACCACACCAATTTTTCCGAGCGCTGGGCGATCTTCAGCAAGTGCTGGATGAACGGCGCCTTTCGGGACAGGCGCAAAGAGGACACGTGTCCACGTGGCACTGGCTCAAGGGACCTGCTCCTTAATTGCATTCTGAAGGCCGGTGCTTTCCGGCCTTCTTTCTCAAAGGAAAGGCGCTTACTTCTCTGAGCCAGAACTTCAGAAACATCTCACTGGCATGACCTCAACCATGCACTGGAAGATATCCAAAAGATCATCAGAAACCAGCAAGCCATGACGATTGCTTTGGATAAAGACCAAACTGCATGTTTTTTTTATTATTTTTTTACGGGGCTCCCCAGAAGGCCGCTTCTTGAACCATGAGTATGTTGGGGTGCTCCGTGTTTAGCGGAGTAAACAGAAACGCCATGTCGGTTTTTGGTCAGAGAAGCATCGGATAATTGAACTCAATTGTTGCTTAGACCCCAAACTCAGACCTCGGGTACATGTTCTCTAGTCTGGCGAAGCAAGAAATGCGCGGTGCAAACTCCTCAAGCGATGCTGAAGGACCCAATCCCTTGCAAGCCCCCTGGCTGTGCAGCTCACTTGGTCATTGCAGATTTGAGAACTCAATGTTGGACCCTGCCCAGACACACTACTGTAACCCCGGTCGCCATTGCCCCTTGCGCAGTGTTGTCCAATTGCTTTCCAGTTGCTTTTCATCTCCTGTCCACTTCCTTCCATCTCCTTTCCATCTCCTTTCCATTTCCTTTCCATCTCCTTTCCAATTGCTTTCCCTCTCCTTTCCCTCTCCTGTCCCTCTCCTTTCCATCTCCTTTCCATTTCCTTTCCATCTCCTTTCCATCTCCGTCCAATTCCTTTCCATCTCCTTTCCGATTGCTTTCCATCTCCTTTCCAATTGCGTTCCATCTCCTTTACATTTCCTTTCCATCTCCTTTCCATTTCCTTTCCATCTCCTTTCCATCTCCTTTCCATGTCCTTTCCTTCTCCTTTCCATTTTCACTCCATCTCCTTTCCACTTCCTTTCCATTTCCTTTCCATGTCCTTTTCATTTCCTTTCCATCCTTTCCGTCAGTCGCTTTGTGTTGTGTTTTTTTTTGTGTTGTTGACAGTTTTGTTTGTGATTGTTGTTTTGATTTTTTGATTCAGGGTCTTCCTAAAAAGAGCACTTCCAAGTTGGAAATCCTGAAACAAGTTGAAACCATGGGAAACCATTCTTGGTTGGCATTTTACAGTGGAATCGTCATTCCAGGGTTTCCTGGGTGGTGTCCTTTTCGGGAAAATGGATGGCCCTGGTAGTTGATTGAATCACCACGTAAACCAGGGCCCGACATATGTTTCAACCACATCAACCAAAAAGGACGCCTATGCGCAGGAGTTCGTCCAACAGAATCAAGTGAACGAAGAGGCAACGAGAACGGAACTCAACCGTCCTGACTCCGCTCGCGCCTTTACGCCGAGGAACTTCATGCCATGAGCGCGAGGGCCGCGAGGGCCGCTCGCGAAGATCAAAGTGCCGAGTCCGAACGGAGGCTCGTTCAAATTGCGTTCCCGGAAGTGAAGTCGGATAAAGGAGGGGTGACCTACCTCCATTTGCGTGTTCGCCCCCTGAAAATTTGAGAAAATATGTCCAAGAGTGATATTCATTCCTTTTAAAACCAGCAAGGGAAAAAATAAGAAAAATCGTCCTTTCGGCCAATGGAAGCCTATGGAACTCAAAACAAATGGGTTCTATTCGCTAGCCTCAAGAAAGGTACGATGGCTCCCTTCAGATGTCCTGGCTCCAGCTGAGTCTCTCCTGAGAGGCTAGCCTTCTAAGGGGGCCGGCTGAAAGGGAATCCAAAGCGAAAACTAGCCAACAAATGGGGGGTCCCCGATTTTGATACGTGCCTTAAAGGGAATCTAAAGCAAAAACTCCCCGATTTTGACCCGTGAAGTCCAAGTTTCCTCAAGGTGCTTGGGCCAAAATCGTGGGCAATTCAGCGCTGCAACGGACTTGCAGCCGAGGAAGACCCGGAACTCCTCACCCCGCAAAATGTCTTCGAGCAAAACTGGCGCCAAGAGACTTTCGCTGCCTGGAGTCTATTTTCAACTGGTGACGGAGACTCCAGGAAGAGACTTTCTCTGTATTCCCAGGATTCCTGGCGAGTCATACAATACATTAAGTCGGGCTTCGAGCTGGTCTCCCGCTCATGTGCGGCAGTATCGAATAATGGAGATCAGGTGTCAGGTTCTATAAGTGAAGCAGGAGCGCTTCTAAGCAAAGACCCAAACTGGTCCAAGGACCTTCTAAGGAGGTACTTAGACCCTGTTTTACACCCCAAAAAAACATCCTCAGGATGTGCACTCATACCTCCAGCACCCATACCCTGGACATGCTCCTAAGTGGAGCCATTCCCTGATCGTGATGCATAACATCAGGAAGCATTCCCACATGCCCGAGATGCTACTTCTTAGGATATGCCCCCAAAAAGGGCTCACTGGTACCGTAAGTACCCACAGTCGCTGGCAGAAGTTACATTCAGGTTATGTGCCAGCGGGTGCTTGGACGACCTTGCAACCTGAGACAAGTAGCTTTGCAATGGACGTGGACAGCGGGTTTGTTTCTTTTCAACCCTTGGGCTAGCGACAAGCTCAAAGCTTTTTGCAGCCCCCTACTAAACAAGGAACAGAATCAACAAAAGCAACAACCTAAGCACGTGCCAACAGCACTGAAGACTCATCTCAAAGAGCCCCGCTGGCCAGGATTCAATCCATCTTCCAAGCAACTCACTGAAGCATATGCGTGCGCATCCGGACTTCTTTTTAGGCGCGGCAAACGTGGCACAGCCTTTTCGCGCTGACTTGGCTTTGATGGTCAAACGTTTGGGTCAAACTCACTTCCAGAGTGGATAGCAAACAAATATTGTACACAAAGCTTCAGTAGCCAAACAACAAGGCAAAACTTGAAAAGGCCAACTCACATTTTGGACAAGCTTGTTTTGGGCCAACAAAAAGATAAAACTTGTTCTTGTACCACCAACATGGTCCAGACCCAAGAATCAAGGTGCACATAGTCCAGAAGCGAGACGAAATAAGGGACCCCCCACAAGAACCACTCAACCAACCATGCAGCCAATTGACCATCCTACCATGCAGTCGAATGACCAACCAATCGTGCAGCCGAATGAGCGACCAATGAATGACCAACCAACTACCATTCGAGGCGATACACATAATGCACCCTCATGCCCCACATCTGTGGGAAATCAAAGCTTGTGCTTGCCATCCTTTCTCTGGTTAACATGAAGCCCACAACACCATCTGTAGATTCTCCTTTTGGCAAAACGACCCATCAAAATGGGGTTATGTTAAAACTCTGTTGGTCACTCCAAGGCCCATTCCAAGTTAAAGCTAGAACCGCAAGTCCAGGGTTGTGTCCTTAAGGGAACCCTCGCCCCTTCTGGGTTTTCAAGGAAAGCAAAAAACATCTAACCATTTTATGGCTTTGAGGCACAGCCACGGCACAAGACATGTACCGATCCTCCGTCACTTGGACAAGCTCCACAAAGCCTCTCCCTAAAATGGAGCTGGCTAAAGCTGCCGCCTACCTGGAACCTGAAAGTAGCCTTTCCATCAAGTAGGTCTATTCATAGGAAATGGTAGGAAATGGTTCTTTACAACCCTTGGTATGGTAGCAAAAACCTTTGTTTTCTGCAGCCCCCTACTAAAAAAGGAACGGAACGAAGAAAAAACAACAACTTGCCAAGAACAGTGAAGGGTTGTTTGGGAAACTGCAATGGTTGTTTCAGGTTCCAGGTACTTTATAAGGTTGCCATGCAACGACGCCAGCACCTTGACAAGCTCTTCAGCCGAAAGCCTTTCGGCTCGGCGCTTTTTCTTGCCGCGGTTTGCGAACAGGGCTGACTCGTGATCCCAAGAATCGCAGTGCGTGGTGATGAATACACCTCCGACCATACCACCAAACTACACGGATTTGAAGGTGTGGCTTTGCGGAGGCCAATGCAACCATATTGAAAAAGGACATTCATCTCTTTGCTCACTTGCCCACATACCCTCCCTTTCACTAACATGGCACCTGTTGGAGGGTACCTGGAAGATCACTCTTGTAGGGACCCCGTGTCAGGTGCCATGACAGTGGGAGGGTAACCCCGTGTGCTATCAGGTAATAAGAATTTCCCTGATTCGTGTTGGGTAAATTTGACAGCTTCCTCTCGTCACCCAACAAAAAGCACTGGCTAGACGGCGGCTTCCTGAATGAGTAAATGTGGCCTTTGCTTATGCACCGGGGCAAAGGAGTTTAAAACCTTGCTTTTGGACTTTGAATCAACATGTCGATTTGATGTTTGATCTGACTGATTCTTTGCTTGAAAAGCTGTTTGTTTCAATGTTTTTGTTTCCCTCTTGGCAACCCAGCCCCGGGCTCAGTAGGCTGGTTTGGGGTCTCCAGGACCGGATCCCCAAGACTGTTTTGAGGGCGCACGGCAGCTTGAGTTGATGTTACCACCTTTAGAGGGCTCCAAGTTTTTTTTGTTCCAAGGATGCGAAGCTTCGCACTGCACGTGGTGACTGCGTTTGTTTGTTTTTGTTTTTTCTCCAAGCCTTGGTTTGGGCTGGCAAAAAGCTTTGCTTTTTTTGCAGCCCCCTGCTAAGCAATGCACAGAACCAAAAATAAACCTACCTGGAGTCTCCACCCTCAAAAAAATAGGTCCATGACCCCAGTATTTCGGCTACTGACCAACCATTTTTAAACGGACATGGAGACTGCAGGTACCGCTTTTAGAGGGCTCCGAAGACTTCGCCAAGATCGTCCCAAGTCTTGCGAGTGCCTCTCCAAACTCAGGTCCAATAGAATCGTACTTTTCCCAGTTGAATAGCAAAAATGGACTCCCTTCAGTCAGGCGTTCCAAGGATCCTTCCTTGCAGATTGCTTAAAGCCACAAGGGACGTGTGTAGGCGTTCGCGTATGGCAGCCCCGAAGCTGACCCAAGAACATCCGGAGCGGACCCATGGATGGACCAGAATGGACCTGTGTGTGTGTGTGTGTGTGCCTGTGCCTGTGTGTGTGCGTGTGTCTGTGCCTGTGTGTGTGTGTGTGCCTGTGCCTGTGTGTGTGTGTGTATGTGTGCCTGTGCCTGTGCTTGCGCGTGTGCGTGTCTGTCGTTTCTCCAAAGAACGATGGCTATGGAAATGTATGTCAGACCGACCTAAGGCAATAATGTCAAATGATGTATGGGCCCAAATAAGCCATACATCAGGCCGAATCATCCTAATCGAAGGCTTTAATCAGGGCTTTTGTGGGCGCCTCCTCCCCCCCCCTCCCCCCCCCTCCCCTCCCTCCCCTCTCTCCTCCCTCCCTCCCCTCCCTCCCCTCTTTCCCCTCCCTTCCTCCCTCCCTCCTTCCCCTCCCTCCCCTCCCTCACCTTCCCTCCCCTCCCCTCCCCTCCCCCCCAAGCCCCCATGAAAATCCGGGTAGAAATCATCTAGCGCATCAAGCTCCAGGAAATAAACACACAAGCCATTGCGCGGCTGATGTCAAGGCGCTCGCTCCATGAAAGCCCCAAAAGGGGCTAGCAAGGCTAGACAGAACGGGGCAAACTGGTCGCTGACCCAAGTAAAGACTGAATTCATTCTGCCTGCTTTCAAACACAACAAATGCTGGCACATGGTTTCCAGCGAAACATTCACTCTGCAAACAGGTTGATGAAATGGGGGTTGATAAATGTTCCCGCCCCCCAATGGTCATCCCATGTAAAGAAACTTTTGGTCTGTCAACCCCAAAACAAATCCCACCTGTCTGAGATGGGTTTCCCTCCTCAGGGTGTCCCCTGTGTCAAACGTGACATGTTTGCATCAACTCAGCCGGATGACTCCTGATCCACCGACCGAACAACCAGAAATCTTCATGGCTCAAGCACCCCGAACTCATGCCCGGATTTCGGCTCCGCTAACATCAGCGGTTCTCAAAGAAAGGATACGTGCGAATGCCACCTGGCCTTACAACAGGATCTTTTCGAATCAGCTGGTAAAGCTGACCTTTTGACTGGTCTAACTGTAGCCTTCAAAGGGCCCTGCACAAGTTGCTGAGACCATGTTTGCCCCGCGGGTTTCAGCTATCAGTGCAGGCTGACTCTGGTCGCCTGCGATTAAAGATCAAGACCTTGCGCCCCAAACCCATGCGGTACGACACAATGAACATCTGGTACAAAGTTGACCCTGAAAGGGTTCTGACAAATAGGTCCTAAGTTGGTACACACATGATTGTCCTTTGGTGCAGCTGGAACTTCTATTGGAGCTCGTTTACGGTTTTCTAAACAAAAAGACCCTACCCAAAGCCAAGTACAGAATCAACAGAGCAGATACACTTTGATCCACAAGGTAGTTGTTTTGTGGCTCAGCTAGGTCTTCCAAGCAAGTGAACCGCTTCACAGATCTGGACGCCTTTACACACGGCCGTCAAACCAAGCATCAAGGAATCAATCCAGGTCCCTGACGAACATCTTCGCCATGACATCCCAGGGACCCCGAGCCT